CCCATGGGAGGAACTCGTGTTGGAGAAAATTTGTGGAGGACTGTCTGCTGTGAGAGGGGGACCACGCTGGAGCAGGGGGAAGTAGTTCCAGAAACTCCCCCCACCACAGATGAAGGAAGTGGCAGCGCTGCCTGCACCCCCCATTCCCTGCCCCTGCGCCACTGGGGGAGGAGGTAGAGATATCGGGAGCAGAGCTGAGCCCGGGAAGAAGGGAGGGGTGGGGGGAAGGTGTTCTCAAGATGTGGCAGTGCTTCTCACTGTCCTACTCTGTTATGTGTTGTTCGTGTCTGTAATAAATGTATGCTCTTTTTTCTTCCCCTAACGAGTCTGCCTTTTGCTCGTGATCATAAAGGAGGATTTTTTCCCCATCCCAGTCCTATCTCAAACCCCAAGCCTGGCTCTCTGTCCCTTCTCATTGCCAGAGGAGAAGGGAGAGAGAGCTGCTGCGTGGTGGTTGGCTGCTGACCAGGCCCAAACCACGACAGTGTGCTTGCCTGGCATCTCCAGCAATAGCCGTGCTGGTGAGTGTTCCTTTAACAGCTTGTGTTGTAACAAAAATTGTATTTGACACCTTTTTTTTTTTTTTTTTAAAGAAAAGCTTGGTTGGGAGTTTAGGATGTTCTGTGTTAGGTACTCAGTATGAGAGGGAGGTGGTTCTCTACATCTTAATCACCCTCTTGCAGTCTTGATCTGAAGTATTTACAGGGCTGGGTTTTTCATTGAGATCTTAAATTGTTTCTCCTCTTCTTCCCCTGATACCACACACACACATACTCTGTAGTTTATTTATAAAGAAAATGGTAATATATCTACAGTAGATTAGTTGGTCATCAAAAGAACAAGGTCAGTACCAAGGAATTCAGAATGGCATTAACTGTCATGGAGATGTAATAATACATAGCTGTGTAAATGGCCTTTGAAGATGATTAATTGTGGAGGTGTGCAGTAGTGGCAGTAGCCTTGTATTTGGAATAGAGCCTTGAGCACAGTTCTGGTACAGGAGACTGTGCAGGGATGCAAACTCCCTTCTGGACAGGGACTGGTAGGTGTCTGCTGCAGCCTGCTCAGCATTTATGTTGTCTTCATGGGGTAGGCATGGCTTAAACCAGCCCTTCAGAAACTCATTTAACTTTAACTATACAAAAGGAGCGTCTGATGTGGTGAGAGGTTGAAAGGCTTTAACGTATGTTTTGTCAGTCAGAAATTGCTGTCTTTTTTTTTTTTTTCTTGTGCTGTGATTCACCAAGTCCTTCCAGTATAACCCCCCCCCCCCATCTTTTCATCTAACGTGATATTGAACAGGTGATGAATGAGAAGGCAAATGTCCTGTTATATGCTTCAGCAGAGAGCAGTTTGTGACCTGTGTCAACAATTAGCAAGAAAATAGTTCTCATCTTGGGCTAGCAGCAAGGTTTTTACCTTTAAATATTTCGGTTTCTTGGTTCCATCTGTCCAGTTGTTGTTCATGTTTCCTGAACTTGCTTCAGATCGTATTGAGCAATGCCGTAGCTAAAATTGCGGTTGTAAGGTACAGGATGAGAATGGTGTTGCTTCAAGTCATTTATTCAAAAAAATATATATCTCAACATTGAAATATTTTCCCATTAAATTAATTTGTTTTGGAATCAAAAGCAGGTGTACATTATAGTGTCAGGCATACATTATTAATTGCAATACATTTTTAATTTAATGAAAAATTATATTAAGAGCAAGGGAGGAAGGCTGTCTCTGTCTTGCAGCATCCTTATGCTTTCTTTGCCTAGATAACCTCAAGCAAGCAAAGAGATTAGATTTAAAATCCACACCTGCTCGTCATTTTTATCTTTTTTAATGGAATGGTGCTTAAACTCAGAGAAATTATAGAAGGAGGACTGAACATATTGGCAGAGGTGACAAGTGGTATTCAAGTTGGGTGACCTTAAAGTGGTTGACAGAAGTTTCTGTTAGGAGACAATTGTCTGAAACAGGAGCTTGTTGCAGTTTCTCAAAGTTTATTTAGGTAGCTGAAAGCTGAGTCATTATGTAAATCTAATTACCGTTCTTGTGATCTGTATCAACTTGGAAGTTAGTAAGTTGGTCATGGGTGCAGCTGTGTCATAAAGAAGCTTTCCAGATTGGAGATTTGTTCTTAAATTTGATTCTGCACTACCCTCTGTTACCCCAAGGATTGAGAGAGAAAATGTTTCCAAGGCCATTGCTAATTTTAACAGCAAATTGGAGCTTGTAGTTAGTGATATCATTCTGCTCTGTTCTCTTAATTTAAAAAAAAAATTTCCACAATTTGGGTCAAAATTTTAATTTTGTTTTGTTATTATTATGGTAATTTAAGCCTTAAATAAATATAAAGTGACTGGAGACCAGATCTTAACTGCATTAGAAAAATGATCCGCTACTGTCAAAACTTGTCTCCAGCAGAAATAATCAAGCTCATGTGCAGTAAAGCTGTTAGTTTGCGTCAAACCATAGCAGTTTTGAGCCTGATCTTCTACGGGATGTCTTAAAGACCTTTTTAAAACGTGATGCTTATTAAAAGAGACTGCTGTGCACATATTGGAGGTGAGTTCTTGTTAGCTGTGAAATGAAATACTTATTATTGTTTAACTATAGAATCCAGAGCCCTGGTCTTGAAAAAAAGCTGTACTGTGCTGAAAAATGTGGAAATAAAAGGCAAAAGAGAATCTCTGACGTTAGTGAATTTACAGCCAAAGTAGAAGACAACAGGTAGTACTGGATGAAGACAAATGAGCTGGAAGGAGGAGCTGGAGATGGTATCTCTTAGCAGGGCTGGCAGTGATCATGTCATAAAGCATGAAAAGCAACAGCAGGGTATCACCTTCTACCGTGCCCCCAACACCTGGATGCTGTTGGTGGTGGATATGCTAAACTCCCGTGCACTCATAAATCCATCTTCTCTGTAATAGTAATTGGTTCCAGTAAGTTGGCAAGAGTCTCTTTTGGAGCTGTACAGTAAATAAGTTTGCTTAAATGTTCCCCACAGCTATTTCTACTCTTCTGTTAAGCACAATAGTAGACCTTAAGCTACAACAGACGCAGCGTGGACAGTATCTGTTGAGTTTTTATGCTTTATCACTTTATAAAGTGACAGCTTTGTTTTTGTTTTATGCTTGTTACTGTTTCATTCAGCTTGGCTTGAACACCAATCACTTGGACTAGTTACCTTTGGGTGCAACAGAGTATTTTATTGTAGTGAAGCTGAGTGGTGAATTTCCACAGGTTTTCTCACCTTGTGCTCTCATTGCTGTTGGTGCTTTGGGGTCCGGGACTACCTCAGAGTTCTGTTCCTGGCTCTGTCCCCATCACCTTGTGCAAACACCTTCATTTTTGCAGTGTGCTTCTGCTTTCTTCTGTCAGGAACTCTGACTCGAGTTGAATTAATTTACCCACTCAAGTCAGAGCTCTCACAACCACAATTTGAGGGATATAGTCCCTGAGATGAATCCAACCAGTATGCTTTGGGCCCTGTTGCAGGGAACTGCAGGTGGGGGTGATCAGAGGGAAGGAAAACTGTTGTAATAGTTGCTGAAGCCCAGCAGCTACTGATGCAATCTCAGAATTTTTTGTTTGCTCCCCCAACCCCTCCCTCTCCCCCACCCCCCCCCCCCCCCCCCCCCCCCCCCCCAAAATGAGCATGTTGCTTCCTATTCAGTTCTATCTTTAGCTTGTCCCATTAGTGCATGTCTGTTTTGGTGAAACAAAGAAAAATTAGCATGGAGAGAAAGGGATTTAGAAACAATAGTTAAGCTTTCTAGGCACAGAACAGGTATAACCTGTTTGCCTTTGCTCAGGCTTTGCCAGGCTTGCATCTTCCCCTTCTCCTGGAACTGCTGAGCTAATGGTTGGCATGTCTGTGTCCTTATGCATTAGGTCTAATTAACAAGGTTATTGTCACTCAGTTATACAGCATTTAGCAAACAACATTGATCCAACCATTTAAAATAAACAGAACAGAGTTGTACTGCCTGTTTTGTATAATGTGGGATCTTGTAGCTTCTTCTGAATTTTAAAGAAAAAAAGTGGCTTTATTTCTTAAATAATTTTTATCTTTCTAAACTTGGTATTTCACTGAATCTGAAGATTATATAGTATTTCATGCACCTGAAATCTTCACTTACAGCTGATAACCAAGAAAATGCTCAGCAATCCTATTGAGTTGAAAGGAACTGTGTGTCAAATCAGGTGCCTTTTAGATTATATTTTGCGTTTCCATTGGCTGTGTCCAGGTAGTATCTAATATTATTAGTTAGAAACTACAGCTTGCATGTTTGCTGAAGCTCTAGCTCAAACAGCAGCAGTAATAATAAACAAACAAAAAAAAAACAACACACCAAAACAAACAACAACAACAAAAAAAAAAAACTTGGGCCATTTTACAGAGGTGAGAATAGCTATACATTTTGTACCAATACAGAAAGATTAAAATGACTTGATCAAGGTCATGCAGCAAGCTAATGGGAAAGCCAGGACCGAAAGCCAGTCATCCATCATCCAAGCTTTCCTCTTTATTTGCTAGACCTCACTGCCTCGTACGGATATCCAATCATCTAGGCTGCTGCAGTGGTGGTCTGATGAAAGATTTCGGTCTTTTAATGGGATTTGAAAGTTGGGTAATACTTATTTCCTATTTATGGTTTAGTGAGTAAACTAGGAAATGTAACACCAGTTCGCACAGCTACTTTTCAAACTGGCTGCATAAACACAGAAATAAATTAAGCCTTGCGAGTGTCCTCTGGGAACCGAGTAAATATTCTCCTGTTTTCCAAAAGGAGGAAGCAAATACATTAATGTGATACATCCAAGGTTACACAGTTGGCAGAACTGGGAATAGCCTCCTGCTCTTACGGCTCTTACCGGTCACTTGCATCAGAGTTGCTGAAGTTTTATGTCGGGGTAAAACCATCCAGAGCAGGTAAGAGCATCCCTGCACGGATCCGGGGGGCACAGGACAAAGAAATTCCTCTCCCTCCCTCCAGCTCGGAAAGGGTTACAGCTGAAATGCCTGGAACAGCCTCAGGAAAACATGAATCGCTGCGAGTGAGGGAGGGCAGGATGGGAACCCACAATCGCAAGCTGGTTTGTGCTTTTTCGTTTATATGTACACCTATTTTTTTTGGGGGGTGGGGTGCGTGTGTTAAATCCGACGTTTGAGAGGATCTGGGCACGGCTGACCGTTGGGCCGGCCGGTGCCAGACAGAGCGCAGGTCCTGCTCACGTACTGTGGGAGAGGGACCCCCCCCCCCGCCTCCCCAGACACACACAGGGGCACAACCTCGGCCCTTTCTCCTCCCCCGCTCCCCTCCGACCGGCTGTTCCCTCACGGCGAGTGTGAGTGCGAGTGTGAGCGGCGTGTGAGGGAGCGGGGGGGGGTGTGTGTGTGTGTGCGCAACATGGCGGGCGGGGCCGGGCCCGCTGCCGCCCTCAGCCCGCGCTGCGCGGCAGCTCGCACTGCGGGAGCGGCAGCGGCGGGCAGCCAGCCCCATGCCTCCGAAAGGTCAGTACCGTCAGTCAGTCGCCCGCAGATAAATGCCCCTTCGAGATGCTTGCTCCTTTCTCTTCTTCTTTTTTTTTTTTTTTTTTTTTTTTTTTTTTAAATTCTCCTTTTTAACCCTGTTTTCTCATGAACAGAGTGTTAAACCGATGCCGTATCTCCGCGGAAGGCGATCGGTGGTAGCCGGTAACGTCTAATAAAAATGTAGAGCAGGATTTCTAAAAGGAAAGCGTGTCGTTTTCACGTGGTAAATGCAACTTCGTTTTCGTTCTTAGTGTCTTTTTAAGCGCATGTAGATGACTGTGTCTTTTAAGTGGTTGAGCATTTGAATGGAGAAAGGTTAATTACCTCCTTCAATCAGATTACACTGTGTAGGTTACACTAGCGTGTAAAAAGCAGACAAAGTATAATTTTGCATCCTGTTCTTCATGTGACAGCGGTCCTTGAGGCATTTTGGGGTAAAGTGTGTAGAATGTGGTTATTAGCATGACTGAAACTTGCATTTTTTTTTGGTAATAAAAAATGCAACGTATCCTGTTTGTAGCAGAGTAGAGCACATAGGCTGTGTGAAAACAGCAATAGTCATGAGGATTCTGTGCTGAGCGTATTTTTTTTTTTTTCCCTCCCCTTTCTAATGGATAACTAAGTGCTGTTGATATGGTATGGGTTTAGGCGCAATAGTTCTGGAGGGGGCAGGTTACCGTGTAGTTAAAATTCTTGTGGAATGAGGCAGTGCTGATTATCTTCATGGCAAATCGTCTCCTTCACCTTAGGCTTGGATTTGTGTTGTGGCTGATATGAAATAAGCCTAGTGCCGTTGCCGTTCAATTGGGGTTTTCTACTTCAGGGCTGAGAGTGCATAAATATTTACTGGTGGTAAAAAAGGAGGGAGTTGGGGAACCAGTATAATTTAAAACTTGCTGTCTTGGGCATGCTGTTACCACCTACCTGGTTTACAGATCAAGGCAGTTTCTACCAAACTAAAAGTTATTTATGAACATAGCTGCTGGAAGCTGGAGACTTGGGTTCTTATTGCACTGTATAATACATTATCAGCAATCTTGATAATTTATGCTAACTCCACCCACTTTGGTTTACAGAGCCAGAAACCGAAGGAGAGTAGCTCCTACCAGCACTGCAAAATTTCTCTGAATTTATCTGTGTTTTCTTTCTTTCTTGAAGTATTTGTCCTTAGGAAAGCAGCTACTGACTATCTTCTCGTTGTTTGTATTACCTAGTGACTCAGGTACTGTGAGAAAGCTAGTTAGGTAATTTTGGTTCCCCCTACTTAGAAACGAAACTGTGCTTTAAAATTAAATGTGTGTAGTGTGCTGTGCTGAAGCCTTTAAATTCCCCAACTTCCTTTGTGATGGAAAAAGCACAATATGCAACCCATGTGTACAGATGCATACCTGCCGTAGAGGATTTTGTACCTAGGAAAATGATAGGATCTTTGTTTGGTGTGAATTCCCTTGGGAATGTGGGGAACTCACTCTGAATGAAAACTCTGACATTTGTGAGTAGCTGGCGATGGCAGTGTGTGGAATACCAGGTCAGTACCTAATGATAAGTGAAATTTAGCAAGGATTTGATACAACCTATGCAGTTTTCTTCCAAACAGGTCTTGCATTTTGGGGAAGTCTGTGGATTAAATATGCTTTAGTTCTGGCAGTGACAGTCCCCTTTTTTTACCATTTGTGCAGATAGTCCAGAGCATGGCAGAACTTCATACCGGCTTATTACAGTTGACTCTCTGAAGGGGAGACCTCTTACACATGTTCCCTCGTTGTCCCGCTTTTCAGCGTAGAGATGAAAATGCGTATTGTTTCTTAGAAGCAAGACTTGCATTTAATAGGATTATAGAAGTATTTTTAACTTCATACTCTCAGTCCAGTGCTCTTGACTGATACTTGCAATGTGGGGAATTTTCTGATTATCGTTGTAAATCTAGACAGAATGAACTGTGGTGCACGTTTTCTTCAGGAAAAAAAAAAAAATCCTTTTCTGAGTGGCACACATAAGGGTTGTAGAGTCCTTGCCCTACCTGTACCAGTAGCTTTTTGGCCGGAGGGGAAGAGGGACAGAAACCAGCAACTTTCTGAGCTTGTGAAAGAGCAGTTATTCCAAGGGACAGCTGGATCAGAGCACGAACAGCAGAGCGGGGTATGTTACCTCGGATAGATAGCATCTTCTTCCAGGCCCGTCTTAGGTGATTTATGTTATGCATAACCGGTTCTGGGTGACTTGGCATGTCTGCTAGAGCTGCCCAGGGACTGCTGAACTGCCTTTGCTCCTGACCGCAGCGGGCCCTCCGCCTCCCCTTACGCAGCTCCCCGTGCTCCAGCGCCCGGGGGTGGGCTCTCTCCAGCCCCCCAGGATGCTTTCCATGGAAAAAAATCCCTGCATCTTGTCTTACCAAAGGAGGGGGGCAATTTTATCAGAGCATTAGTGAGCACATTTCACTGCCCTCAGCAGTTCTCTTTGCAAAGCCAGCATATCAAATATACTGTGTGATGTATCTTCAATATTTATATCAAGAATAACCCCCTTCCCACCCCCCCACCCCCATCAAACTTTTTGGTTTAATCTTTCTTTGCTTTGAACCATGTTTCTTGTCACTGATATTTTCTGAAAACTTCAGGCCCTGGTATCAGGGACCAGAATGTAATGTTTGATAATCTGCTCCTGACAGTGGTCATTAAAGGAAAGTAAACCCCCTATATTTCCCCAGAGGTCCTGTGTCTTAAAAAGGAATGTTCTTCCCAGCTTCCATTCAGTCATCACCCTGGAGGAAAGGATAAAAAAAACCCCACAGAATAGTTGGTGGAAGGGAGAAATAAGGTGACTTTGAAATGGTGGATGTGATGGACGGAAAGCAGAAGAACTGGGACAGGGTCTGAGCTTTCCAATCATGAGGAGAAAAAACCAAAGCAGGCAGCTGTTTAGCTCTTGAGTCAGAACAGGGTAGATTCAATGTGTATTCATGTAAAAAGAAAAAAAGGCAGATGTACACCTTTTGTGTATTCCTTCGAATGAAATAGTAACAGGATGCAGTGGCAAGGGCTGAGAACTACAGTAGCCATCTCCTCGGTTTCATTTGGCTTCTGAGAATGGCAGCACGCTGGTATTACCTAATTGTGTGCTGGTCTTGTTTCTGTTGAAGGAGCTTTCTCTGTACTGTTTCTGGAGGAAGAAGAACGTCTGCAAACGTGTTTGAAGTGTATATCCAGAAAGCAAATTGAAATATAAACCTCAGCACGTATGTGTGTTTCCCTCTGCATGCCTCCTGTGTTGTTCTGGCCTAACGGGAGGGATTGGAGAGTGATTTAGGGTCGGGGCAAGGGGAGGAATTTGAACTTGGTGCCCTTGCTTTGAATCATGGTTTGTATTCCAGCTTCTCTTATGTCCTGTGTTTATTCCTTCTGAAACTGTGAATGTGAAATTTGTTAGCCCAGCACCTCTGGAGACACCTCAGAGGTGACGTAATACCTTTTTTTCTTCTGTCAGTTGCCTTCTCTTACGCAATCCCTAATGCAATCTGGTTTTCTCCCTTCTTTGCGTAGAACAGGAGTAAAAGCGCAATACTTAAAGATCTGTTGCAGTTTTCTTTCAAAGCTAGGCTGGTCGGAGCTGCTTGTGGTGGCCCAGACCACGCTCCATCACGAGAGGCAGTGGTGGGAACTGGCAGCACAGCGTTCGGCAGAGCTGAGCGTGACCTCCCTTCAGTGTCTTGGGCCGGGAACAGGCTGTTACGTGTTGGATCATCTGCGTCAGATTATCGTGGCCCTTGCTTTAATTTGTAAAGGGTTGCCCAGCTTTGCGTTCCCTTTCAGTAAGTCCCATGGCTGAATAAACTTCTGAAGCATCCAGAAGATGACGGTGCATTGCTGCTTGTTGGGTTACATATTTACAATTACTCGAAGTCTGTTTTGAAGCTCCTCAGAGGTCTGAAATCTCTGGTTAATCAAAATCAGGGAAGGACTTTTAACCTGACACTTCTCATAATGTTAAAGACTAGAAAGCCCTTGTTACATTAGCACGCCAAGAGTTTAACACAGCTCTTTGTTTTTTAATTCAGTCAGTTCAAGCTGGGGGCAATTTTAGCTGGGTGATCACAAGCATCCTATTGCTTTTGCTGAAATAAGATGACGGCTTTGTTGGACGTTGAGCTGATACACAGGCGGTGGTAATGGTTTGCTTTTTCTTGGCAAATGAATTTAATGCAGTGTGTAGTCCTGATGGGATTTAACCACTCTTAGAGGGGGCAGTTCTGTTGTTATGACTTTCCACTTGATCTGAGTCTCTGGGTGCAGCTCACTGTTGTAAACCAAATGTGACACTAATGAACTCCAGCAACGTGTGTTTTCTTCTTTTCATTTTGTATTATATAGCAATTTTCCTTTTCTCAGTGCTATTGAATAGTCAAGGATTTCTCAACGTTTTTCCCTCAGGGTTTATAAATTAGTGCTCCAAACCTTATTCAGGATCGGAATGTGGCAGATGAGATTTCAGCCCTTAAGGAGTGTTCTAACCATGCAAACATGCCTTAATTTCTGGCCACATTTCTTCATCTGTGTGTTTCAGA